GCTTGCGTAAGGGAAAAATGACATGAAATTTAGTGTGCCCGGGCGCAGGCACAGAGGGCAATAAGACCATCTGCCCCAAACAAAGAGAAGTGTGGCCACTATTTTGTTTGATTTTTCTGAGCAACATTTTAAAATATTAAAATTTTCTAGTGAAACATTTGCTTTCCTTGGTGAGTAATCACCTAATCAAGATATCTTTGTCCAATGGCTACCACAGCAAATTAGCCATGAACTGGGTGCCTTAAAGTACAAAACTTTATTCTCCTGCAGTTTGGGAGGCCAGAATCCTTTCCTTTCCAAGGGAGAATCCCTTCCAGGCCTGTCCTAGCATTCTCTGGTGTCCTTGGCTCATGGGCACATCACTCCAAGCTTTGCCCCCCTTCACATGAACGTCTCAGTTCTGAGGACACTTGTCACCATGCTCAGAGCAGGCTGCTCCTGTGTGCTCCCCTTCTGTTCTGGCCTCTCTCCCCTCTGAGGTGCAGTCTCACAGTCATAACTGCCCTCTTCCTCTCAGGCTTCTGACTGCATTTCAGGGTCTCTGATCTGGAGAACAGTGGGTCCCAGTTTCCCATGGCTGAAGCCCCAGTCTATTTTAAAGGAAACTCAGCCCCAGCGGCCACTTCTGCCTCCATTCTGCACCTGAAAGCACAGAAATTTCCTTGTTCCAAGCCTGACTGGCTTTTTTAAGTCATTGTGGGTCACTTGATAGCACGCGCCAACGTTCTTCCTAGTCTGGGGCGTACTGATGTGTGAAGATAGGTCTTGAGTGTCCAGAATGGTCTCTCCCTCAGGCCCATCGGGGCTCTGGCTTCTCAGGGTCCAGCCCCCAACTTTGTAGCCACAGAGATTATAGAACAGTGGAGGCAGCAGGTGAGAAAGATGCAAGAACCTGTTAAAGCCTTGGCCCCGACAGAGGAACCAGGAGGCAGTCCTGCCCTTGGGGTTGCTGAGCTCTCTGAGAAGGCCAGCTTCTCGGCTTTCAGTGCCACAGTCAGAACATAGATAATCAGCAACCAGGCCAGCGAGCAGCCCAGCACCACCTCTACTCCTGGGGACCCTTTGTTCATGGTGCCTTTGCTTCCTTGCCACACCCTCTCTTGCTCTGTAGTTTTCAGGACAGCAATGTTTACCATCTCTGTAATCTGTCAGGCTGGTGAACCCTTATCATCTGAAACAATCACTTATAATAATCTGTTGAGTAACCCACTTATTTGTCCTTTAACCAGATAAGTCACCAGAAGACACACATGCACTTTTCTTGAGTGGATAAAGTATAGAATGGTTTTAGAAAATCAGATCGTGCAGTTCTCTGGGTCTCTCTGATATTTTGACTGAGTCCAAACCAGTGAGATCATCACACTATGTTTCTGTCCTTGGAAACTGAGTCTGACTTGACTTCCTAACTGCCACTTCCTGTCTGTGGTAGTCATGGTTTTCAGGGGAAACTATGAAGGACACATAATTTATAGGACTGCCTTATAATATTCACCCCAAGTGTTAAGTACAAAAGAGTACCAGAGATCTGTTCACAACTGGACACCCAAAGAATCCAGCTGAGGGCCTGAATGTGGAGGTATCCTGGGGACCTAATTCACATTTTCAGATTTGGTACATGGAAGCTGTGTGTCCAGAGAAAGGCACAGATGTGGTGAGTGGCAAATGAGTCCACAGCATGGTCACTGCCCCTGAGGTTCCATGGCTATGGGCAGCTGGCTGCTGGCCCAGCGCCAGAAGTTCCTGATAAATCCCACAGCAGTCAAAATATTGCCCAGGCCCACCGAGGGTAGGGCAGACCGAGAGGACAGAGAGCAGTCAGTCTGGCCTTGCTCCAGTGGATCCTGGCTCTTTTCAGCCTGGGCGACTCTTGTCACTCTGTCCTTGGCATAACACTCAGGTTGACAGTGCTGGTACCTGGGGTGGTCCTGCAGGCTGCCCTGGGCAGAGAAAAAGGGATAATGGACACTGCTGTGGAGACAAAACAAATGTGAAGCTAAAGAGGAAGGGTCGTGGAGCCACTGGGGTGGAGGTCTGGGGGATCAGGGCAGAGGAGAGTCACTCTTGGAAGTACAGGGAACAGCAGAGAGGGGCCTAGTAGGGGCAGTGCTGCTGTCCTGTGGTTTGAGCAGCTATGTGGGGGAACTACTGATGCTACTGTTGGGTAGCAGACAGTAGGATGCTTTGCTGGCCAGGGTGGGGTGAAGGGCAGAGCAGCAGCACACGGCCTGACCTAGCCCAAAGTGGCTGGCCTGAGACCTGGGGATGTCACAGTGTGAAGTCCTTGGAGCAGGTGCTGGCAGAGAGAAGGGCAACTGTGGGGGGTCCCAGGAGAGAACACGGGGTAGAAGGGGCCACAGCATTGGTCAGCTGGGAGCAGCCCAATGTGGGAATCTGCAAAGCAGGAAGAGCAGCCTGCCCTGCCCACTGAAAAACTGAGGACAGCCAGGGATTTAGCTCAATGGCATAAGCACCTGCCTGGCATGTGCTAGTTCAGGAGTTCCATCCCGAATACAAAAAAAAAAAAAAAAATGAAGACAGTCAGAAGGTTCTTCAGAGCCTATAGGTCTGATCTCAGCTCTCACCAGGTATCAAGTCACTACAGCTTGGAACATCACTGAGTGAAGGACTGGTCATGCGGACAGCAGGGAAGAGCATAGCCATGGCCCGTGCCCTCCACCCTCCAGGTAGACAGTAGCAGGAGGTGGAGGATGCCGTGCAGCCCAGGAAAGCACAGAGGGCGGGGGTTGCAACTTTAGGGAGGGTGGTCAGTGGGACACCTCACAGGGAGGGGCCAATGGCAGCAGCATCTGCTCACTGGGACCTGGTCCCTGAGGCAGGAGCAGCCACTGGCTTGGGCCTGAGGTGAGGCAGGCCCCAGATGTATCTTACTGCTGCTGGCCTTCCTCCAAGTGCAGTTCTGTGATGCTGATGTGGCCTCACATGCACTGTAAGCGCTGTGGGATGTCATCAAGCTCCAGAAATCACTGGTGGGATCCAGGAGACTGTGTCAGTGGGGACAAAAGTACTGGGATCCTTGCAGAAGTGGGGCTTGCTGAGCTGTTGGCTACAGTCACAGAAAAGACAAGCAGTTGGTAAATCTCTTCCCTGAATTACTGAGTGTAAAGAAATCGAGTCTCTCTGCTGTTTCTGAGGACCCCTCTGTCCTCTGTCTTCTTGCATTAGCCAGAGGCTCACCCCTGACCCCATGAGGACAGAAGAGTGAGGCTGTGGGACTGAGCTTCTGAGCCTCCTCATGGTGGCGCTGTAGCTCCTCTTATCTGGCAACTGCTTTTAAACCTCCCCAAGTTCTCTGCAGATGGGCAGTACTGATTTTTTTTTTTTTTTCAGTACTAGAAATCTATCCTGGGCACCCTCCCTGGGTATGTGGGCCTTTGGAGTCCCCTGTTGGTGAATATTTCAGCACCATGGTCACCTGTACACAGCTCTGCCAGATGGCTGCTCACCCAGGATCTGGCAGAAGGCCCTGGGGCTCAGCATCTTCAGTAACTTGCCCTATCAAGAGGATTACATGACATCACCTAGCTCCAGGATTTGTGACAGTATTAACACTGAAGGCATCTGACATCCTGCTGTGTACCTGACCTATACCAGGCAACCTAGAAGTGGGAAGAGCCTCCCTTCAGTGAGCAGACAGTGAGGCTCAGTTGTGCTCATCGCCTCCCCACTTGAGGGTCTAAACTTTGTCTTGCATTATTGGTCCCATGTCTGGCCAGAAACCAAGCTTCCTCCAGAGACAAAGGGTGGCAGGCAGTTCTGAGCAGGAACCTGGGCCCAGAGATGGCAGCTCCACAAAGAGCACCACCAGACGAGCTGTCTTCCTGGGTCCCGGGTACCATTTGAGGTTTATTTGGCCCGACCCTATGGGCACACGAGGCCCCATATTTCCAGGTTCCTGAAACATTTCAGTTGCTTTAATGTGGCACCAAATGGACTCAAAGTAAGAATTTTATAGGTGAAGCAGCATCTAATGCTTCATATAAAGCAGTACCTGTTTTCAAGGTTAAAAATGCACCCATCTACACAGATACACTCTGCTGTTATAGACCAGAGTCCAGTTCTATTTTTCTTATTTTCTTATCTTTTCTCCTAAAAATGTCTCTATTTGCCAAATTATAGTTAATATGTAAATAATATACATGGGCTGATTTCTGGAGTGTTTTGCTATTCAATGTATATACTCCCTACAACTTGCATGAATATTCTCTTGATAGCAAAATATCTACCAATGTTTTCCTGCAAAGTGAACACCGCAAGTGAAGCGTAGGTGGCTGTTAAACGTGCACTATTGCCTTCACTAAATAAAAACCACGTGTTTTTAAAGCAAGGCTAAGACTCGCTTCCTTAAAACAGAGATGAGCTGGGTCCAGTACAGCACTGCCTGGTTTTCCCTGATGGATCTTCCAAGCTGTTAAGCACCCACTGAGATGCTGGCCAGAACTGTGGAGCTTAGAGGAAAGTAAACACAAAGACCAAAAGATGTGGTAGAAGAAAGAGGGGAAAATGGGTAATAAGTGCCATAAATTGTCTATTTTGTTGCCATTTATACATCATATCAATTCTACCTGCTGCATATTTACACTGGAGCAGGTGCTTTTTCCATTTTAAAAGAACAAAGATCAAACCTTAGAAATTGATGAACAGCACAAACTGTCTAAACCATGCAGATTATTCAGACAGAAACAATTAAATACCATTTTCCCCACCGCAACATAAAAGCATATCCATATTGAAAATAAAATCACAGCATGATTTGTACACAACTAGAAATTTTAAGGATCAAGCTGACAACACAGACTGAAGTATCCTACAGGTGATAAGACACAGTAAAAAAGAGTATTAACAAAAATGTACTGTAAGCTTTGTGTTTCGATTTACATTCATGATATGAGTACTCACTATAGCTGCTAAGTTGATTGAAATAGTTACTGAAAGTTCAATTAGAGAACTTGTCTATAAAACACCTTTTCAAACCTTGAATACAATTAAACTAGGAAGCAAATTAATTTTCTTAGTGTCACACACCACAGATAACAGCCTGCCATCAAAGGTCGAGTTGAAAGCTTGTAAATTTTTAAGTAAGTCTTTAAATGAAATCCCTGTGCTGTCAGTTTGTCCTTTTAATAATTCCATGGTTTCCCAGTTGGTCTTGCACAATCACGTGTCTAACTTGGAGGAACACTACATAAATATGAGTCCTCAGCCTGAGTGTGTAATGGTGCAGTTCAGCAGCACGTGAGATGTGCTGTGGCTGAGTGTTATTTTCATTGTGATTTATATACACAGCATTTTACAATGTCCACAGGTGCAGAAAGCATTCATCCTTTTGGAATAGGAGCAATTAAGAAAAGATAAAAACCCAAAGAATCATGGCAAAATATGTACAGCATTTACTAAAGAGCCATCACACAGATTTGAACAAATTTATGTTAATAATGTAACTGAGTTGGGATGACTGCTGTGGAACATGTTGAATCTGAAAGACAGGAGGCACAGGCATTAGTCAAAAGGAGGGTCCCCCCGGAGCCAGGTTCCCCTTTCTGTCCCCCCCAGTCCTCAGGTCCCCTTGCTCTTCAGGAAGCTCTTTTCAACTGAAGCCATTGCTGCCTTTCTGAAAGGCAGTAGAGGAACCCATGGAAGCCAGGCAGCTGCAGAGGAGCTCTTGGGGGCCTGGCCAGGGAGGCGCCACCTGCTGGGCCACACTGCACCTGCATAGCCTGGAACCCAGCTGTGGCCAGTCCTTCCCAATCCTTAGATCCTCTTTCACTCCAGAAGACTTTCAGTCCTCAGACTTAAGGCTTTCCCTTGAGGACACACAAGTAAAGGATGTTAATTAACTGCATACAACGATCGTCTTTCGATAGTTCACCTCCAAGTTCATTTAAAATCATCCTTGCTGATTGGTCTTGAGACACACAAGGACAATTTTCCTTTCAAGAGTTAAATGGTTCACCTTTCCCTTTTTGCCCAGTGCATAACATGTAACATGAATTGCCACCTCCCAGGACCACAGAACACAAGAGACTGGGACACATCCTCCATAAAATGAAGGCTCTGCTCTGGTCCCCTGGACCTCATCCCAACAAGGTGGCAGTTTGAAGTGAGGGTTGTGACCCAGTCTCTGCCTGAACACCAGGCCTCGGTGCTGAGCTCTTGTGATGGCCTCTGCTTTCTGGGGAGGGGACAAGGGGTTCTCCTCCCAGATGCTTATCTCATGGTGGCTGATTCTGATGGGGGTTCCCTGTGGGTTTCTTCCACGGAGGAAGGTGGGAGGAAGCAGCGCCTCCCCTTCCCTAGCCAGGGAGACGAGGTCCCCACCCTCCAGTGCTTGCTTAGAATTCAGAGGTCCCCATCATTGCTGCTGGTTCCATAGCTCACCACTCCATGACCCTTGACTTTCCTCAGAAATGTGACGCCTTCTCTGTCCCTTCCCAGTGCTTCTATGAAGAAGAAAATGTACAGGGGAAGCACTTACCTGAGCTAGTGATTATTATTTGTTCCGAGATCAAGTTGTCAATCACCTGAAAGGCAAAGGTTAATAAACATTGTAATGACAGTACAATTTCTACTGTCTGTGCTCTCAGCATGAATGAAGTGGTTCTCATAGTTTTGTTGAAGCTTAACACTGGCTGCCTGCCTTCAGTCCCAATCAGTCTGAGCAAGGTCAAGCTGCACACAGTCCCTGCCACAAGAGTCCCCTGAAAGTAAACTGAGTTCCCATGATGATGGATTGTCAGACAGCGGTCCCCAAACCTGTCCCTAGGAAACAGGCCATGCCCAACACCATCAAACTGCTGAGTTCCCACATGAGGCTGCAACAGACTTCAGGCCAAAGAAATTAACTGGATTTGAAGGAAGCCAGAGGTCAGGAACTTGCAGGAGAAAGGTCAGCGGTCAATGTTAGGACACAGGAAGGCCAGCGCATGTAAGATGGCAGAGTACTGGCCTCAGCCAAGGCCCGTCCCAGGAGGCCTGGAGACCAGGGAACTTGGTGTGTGCTCCCAGTGGAAGTGCTGGCTGCAAACCAGTCATCAGTGCACCGGGAGTGAGACATGACCTGATTGCAGCTCCTCAGTGGATGAGTGCACACAGCCCAAAATGCTGGTGGTCAACTTGCTGCCTCCACATTGCTAAGCCCTGAGGCTTCACCTGCCCAGCCAGGATGACAGATTCCAACACTGGTAGGAGGCTGCCATCATGCAGACCAAATTCTTCTCACTACCAAATCCTCAAGTACTACACAGAGGTCAAAAAGCCCCACCCTTCCGCAAATCAATGAAACATTAATGTGAAAATGCTCTACAAATGCACACAATTTCATAACACAAAGAGCAAATGCCACACTGCTTCACTCCAGTCCTGGCAGCAGAGGTGACTCTGCCTGGACCCACTGTGGTGGCCTCAGCCTTCCTGATGTCTGCTTCTCATCATACTTATGACAGCTGCATGCACTCAAGGGGACACAGTAGGTGCAGGCCTCTTGCTGACTGGACCTCCCCAAGAAAACCCATTTCAGCTGAGCTTTCTTTTCTGTGAAGGGCCAGGGGATAAACACTTTGTGGTGGGCTGTGAGGTCTCAGCAGTGACCCCCTTCCTCTGGCAGGAACACCAGCCATGCACAGACACCAGCTGTGCTTCAGCTGAAGTCTGCAGACCATGACATTTGTATTTCACACAGTCTTCAGATGACACAAATTCCTACTCCTCTTTGGCAGCTTTGAAGACATGAAAGCCACCTTACCTCACAGCTGATGTGAGAGGAACTGGACCTGCTTTGGTCTTCTACTTGCAGCTTGGAAACTGTGTCCCAGGACCCATTCCTGTCACTTTCAATCTTAACAAGCTTCTCAGGGCTCCTCCTTGGGGAACCAGTTAGAAAGGGGGAGGGGCTGTCCCACTGCAATCAGAGCACAAAGAGCTGCTAACTCACCAGAAGACACAGTTGACACACAAGAATCCAAGATGCCCAGTATCCCAGAATAAGTGGGTGAAACCAGGAGCCCAAAGGTGTCAACTTTGGAGGTGGCAGCTACTTTTGAATGGCCTAGGTCATCAAATTGTGAGTTACAATATACTCTCCAATATAAAAGCATCACTACCACAAATGCATCAAAAACAGTAGCTTCTCCCTTGTAAGTAAATATGCAGACACCAAGAGAGCCATGAATTTCAGGGGCCATAAATTCCACTTCCAAAAAACCATCCTGAGTGCTAATGGATCTGTGCCAAGCATCCAAACTACACAAGGATAGTGAATCAACAGGGCCTGTGAGTTGCGGCTGGAGAGACAGGAGCCCTGCATTACTCACACCACCTTCCAGGGACTTGGGCTTACACCTCCCTGTGTCAGTCCTCATTTCATAACAAGTTTTGTGAAAGAGTTTTTATCTTCTTAATTCCACAAATCGCTTCTTACCCTGGCCATACTGGTACCGGTCAGTCCTGCTGTCCAGCTTTAAGGGTTTCTTTTCCATTTGAAAAAGTCCAAAGCCCTCCACAGGCAGGCCATCAGCAAGCAGGGAGCTACCCTGAGGTCTCCAGACATCATCCACAGTCTCACAGCTTGTGGTCTTGGGTGAGTGAAGTCCTGGTTCTGTTCCAAAGTTCTCCGAGTGCCTCTTCTTTTGGTATCTGCAGGGCTGAGTGTCTGACTGCACTACTGGGAGGTCTGTGTCCAGCAGACACCTGCAGAAGCAGCAGCCAGATATTAGCAACAAAAGCACCAGCACCACCTCAGACAGCACATGGCACTGTCCTGACCACTTACTGAAGGCACTCAATGTAAAGCCACGAGTCAGTGCTTATCTAGTTCAGAAGGGTTCTCCACTTTCAGCTGTAAATCATTTTAAAGCCCAGGGCCATAAACTCACCAACTTCAACCCACCCCTGACTCCCCCACCATAGGCTCTGTGCTCAGGAGGTGGGGGTGTCAGCTGGAAACATAGATGTATGTTATATATCCTGAAATCAGTGATAGAATGAAAAAGAAAAAAAGAAAGAAAGAAAGAAGGAAGGAAGGAAGGAAAGAAAGAAAGAAAGAAAGAAAGAAAGAAAGAAAGAAAGAAAGAGGAAAAGAGAAAATAAAGAGAGAAAGTAGAATAAAAAAGGTTTTCCAGTGTCTGAGACTTACAGGAGGAAGTGGTTTGTAATTTGAATTCATTTGCCCCCTACATAACCGATGCCTATTTATATACAGCTTTTGGCATTCTTTGGCTAGGATTTTAGGTTTTTAAAAGAAGTTAAGTACAATATACAGGAATTCCACCCATCCTCACTCATCTTCTCATGAAGCAGTCGGTTTCAAGGCAGCAGCCAAGGCTGGGCCTGTGGCTCCCTGGCAGGTGCTGGCCTCATGAGCACAGCTGTGGGTCTCATCCCCAACACACACACACACACACACACACACACACACACACACTCACACAATCAATGGTTTTGTATTGAGATTCATAGACAAAGACCAAGACAGTAAATGATGCCCCTCAGAATCCACCCTTGGCATACAGGGCAAATGCCAATAGAACTGTGCCCTACCTTCGCCTGCTTCCATTTAGTCTCTCAATTTAAAAACAAAAACAAAATTATGAAATGTAACTTATCTGACCATCAATCGTGAAGTCACCAAGTTACTTCTACAGAACTCACAATTATTCCTAGGATTTACAAAGCATTCACTGAGAATGGCGAAATGAGGCATTTTATGATACAGGAGGTAAAAGCTGCACCGTTTTAGAAATGCAGAGAAACAGTGAAGTTTCAAAACCCACAGAGCTGAGGACTGGACCCTGCTGGCAGAGCCCGCACTCACCTGTGCTCCTGCTCATGGTGTTTGGCTTTAGATTTGTTAGGCTCCTCCAGGTCTCTCGGTAGGCTCCTGCGGGCTTTCTTTGGTGTGCTACCCCCGTTACAGATACTTTCTGCACTCTGGTACCTGCGCTTGCCTGACCTCATGGTTTCACGTCCATGAATCCGGTGCGACAGGCTGCAGCCACTGTGGTCAGCCCCGAAGGCAGCTTTCTCCTGAGGGTAGCACTCAGGGTGCAGAGGGAAAGGCGGTGAAGCACCAGTGTGTGGGCTGTGGAAGCCGGTCCACTCCCACAGCAGGGCAGGCAGCTCCTGGCCCTTCCTGGCCTGGGAAGAATCCTTGTGTGACCGTTTCACACTGCGCTCCCTGGCTTCGTATGGAGTGTACCTGTTGAGGTATCTGCACTGGTCCCACCACATTTTCTTGGGGTAAGACTTCTCTGGAAGCCTGCGATGCTCCCTGCCAGAGGAGCAGTCTGGGCTCCAGTCCTGCTGAGCCCCACTCCAGGTTTGGGAGTGGTGGGAGCTGTATCTGCTCAGAACACAGGGCTGCCCGGGACTGACTCTGTCTCCACAGCACAGAGGGTGCTGGTTGGCACTGCAATGCTGCACAGCATGGCACTCCGGCTTGCTGTGCTTTCTCGCGAAGCAGAGCCACTTTCTGTCACAGTTACCCTCAGTTCTGCTCCTGCTCCTGCTCCTGCTCCTGCTCCTGCTCCGGCTCCGGCTCCGGCTCCGGCTCCGGCTCCGGCTCCGGCTCCGGCTCCGGCTCCGGCTCCTGCTCCTGCTCCTGCTCCTGCTCTGCCTCCGGCTCCGTTTCTACCCCTGCTTTTCTTTACATCTTCCCCAGTCAAGGAACAGTCATGACGGTTATGGTAACCTTCGTGGTCACATTGCCTATGGCTGCTTATTTTTCATGGAGGGTGATCTGGAACCTTCTGCACAACCTGAACTTTACCGTACCCCTTGACATGACTGTGCCCAGGGTCCCCTGCAGGATGGGTGCCTGGGGTACTCTGTGGCTGAGTAGAAGGCAGTACATTGGCACATTCTCCTGTATTCTGACTCTGAGCCCCTGTGTCACCACACTGCTCTCCCCTGAGGGAAACCAAGGGCCCGGGCTCACATCTGCCTTCTGACTGTGTGAAGGGAGCCAGGCTCAGCTTCTCTACCATCCTGGCTAGTCTAGAGTGTCACAGGCTCTCAGGTAACAACCCGTTCGCTTTGCTGCAGTCCTGTGTTACCTTCCCAGCATCACAGGGCTCATAAAGTGGATCTGCACATGTGCTTGTCTGGTTCTTGTTGCAAAGTTTGTTTACAAAGGGCAAAGACACATCAGTGTGGGTTGACCTATTTTCTGAGATAATGTCTCTCATTGATTGAGAGGCTGATGTCCGTGTACAGCAAAACCTTCTTAAACATTTGGCACAGACTTGTGATCTGGTCCACTTTTTCTGGAAACCAGCAGTAGCACAACCAGCCTCAAGCCTGCAGTGAGGTCCTACAGAAGGCATTGCTCCATTCCAGGTGGTCTGCATCCCCACCAAAAGAAAGACACAATCCAATAGTTAGCATGACTGCTCTGTAGGTATGGTCATGGCTTACATTTGCTAAATATTTTATCATTTTAAATATAGTTGCATAGGTGCCAGTGTCAGGCTACTTTCTTGGGAAACCTAATTTTCTCTTTATTAAATAAAAAAAATTTACATCAAGCCTTCCTGGTTTTCAGCAACAATAATTCTGCAGCTCTGCACATTGCTTGTTTCCAGATGTGCTTCTAATTCTCAAGAACTAAGTCATTAGTTGATGACTTTCCTGCCTCCCTTCTTTCTCTTGGAAGCTCAGAGGTGAGGTAGCTATTTCCAAACAGAGCCAACAACTCCTTAAATTAAGGAAAACTAAGGGACTCATTGAGGCTCTCCACAGCTCTGGAAACAGTGCAACCCCTACCGTGATCTCCACTCTCCACTTAGGAGATCACTCCTACAGCCCCGAGGGCAAGGTAGTAGCCCTGAGTGTAGCAGGGGACTTTTGAGGCTGCAAATCAAAGCACATGTGCTTGGCCACAATGCATGCATGGCCTCACTTAAGTGTATACACACAAATTCTCTTGCACATTCATTTTGAGCAGCAAGGTGAGTTAGGAAAGAAACAAGGGCAAAGTCATTGTGCAAATGCAGGGCACCCAGCTATTCTATCTGAAGGCAAAGGGGGATGGAGTGTGCTCTGCCTCTCCATTCTTCTTTAACAAGGCCACATCCCTAACATAGGGTCTTGGGGGCCATCTGGGGTGCTCACAGTGCCGTGGAGGAGGCTCCTCTCTGACATGTCCTCACATCTATGGGGGCGTAAACCCAATTATATTATTGCTACCATTTCCATAGAAATTACCCTTCCCAGGAAGTAAAAGATTGTGTAAACTGAGAAATGGTCACACTGTGATGTGACTGACATTTCACCAAAATTGTCTCACAGCGCAACGATGCTGATGACAACTTGGATGCAGTGTGTATGCCCAGTGATCACAGGGTGCACCTGCAGGTGTCCTGCAACAGTGGTTTCACCTGAAATTTCCCAATGAAGCAACCAAAAGTGCACTTCATATTCCTTTCTCCTTATTTCTGACTTACATTATGGCCAGATCAGTATATTGATTTGTTTTAAAAAACTGAATGTAGGACAGCCTGCCGAGAACCAGCTCAATAGGGAGTCAGCAGCTGCCCTTGCCCCTGCACACTCCAGCAGTCCTTGGGATGCTCCCAACCCAGGTAGCCAGAATCGATGGGAAAAACAGCAGCGGGCCCTGTGCCACCACACCCTGTGGCCAGAACAGTCAGGAAAACCCAGGAGAATCAAACAGTCACACTCTGGAGAAATTGTAGCCAATGCAGGAAGGGCCTGGGAGCACACTAAGCCCTTGTTTGAAAGAACCCAAAAAGGTATCAAGCAGTTCATGGACTCTAACAGAAGCAGAGCAAGTCTAGAAGATAAACACATGAATGAGATCAGGAGTTGCACATCTGAAGTTTCTAAAGAGATGGCAACGGAATCAAAGAGACAACTTCTTTATAAAAGAAATTAAAACAGAAATACTATTATAGGTAAAAAAGAAGTGAAAAATATGATAAAAGAATTGCTAAGCATCTTTTAAAGAGACATAGATAAAATAGAGAAGAGCATAGAAAAATGAGAGAAACCTTGAATGAACAAAATAGGAGAGATTTAGAATGCACACAACAGATTCAAAGAGTTATCCAGGAAATTAAAATCTCCATTGAAAGCTTGCAAAACTGCTTGAAAGAAACTGAAGATAGACTTTCAGACCTTGAAGACAGATATGCAGCTTGCAATATAGAAAGATCTATTAAAAATAGCAAGAAACTAGGAAATAGCAATTCAATGATTGCAAGATGAGGCAAAGCAAAATAATTCAAGAATAATATGTGTCAGTAAAAAAGCAGGGGAAGACACAAAATTCTGTTTACAGAAGTAGTAACAGAAAATTTCTCAAACATGGGGAAAGAATGTGATATACAGATAAGGCATATAGAACTCCAGCTAAAAATAGATCTCCACAGCGACATATAATCAAGATCCCAGAAATTCAACACAAGAGCAGAATATTAAAAACTGTTAGAGAAAAGAGACAGATCACCTACAAAGCAAAACCCATAAGAATCATGACAGACTTCTCAGTACAGACCATCAAGTCAAGAAGAGCTTGGAGTGAAGCATTTCATGTCCTATAAGAAAACAGTGTCCAACACAGATTGATGTAGCCTGGAAAACAGTTTTTCTAAGTTAATGGAGAAGCAAGATACTTCCATGATGAAGAACAACTGAAGGAATTCACAGTCACCATACTGAAGGACATTTTAGAGAGAGATAAAAGAGACCACCATTCCAGAAAGAACATCAGAAGAAGATCATAGAATGGGGCACACAGTTGAAAGAAGGGAAAAGTAGGCAGCCAGTGGCAGGAAAATAGCCTGGCAGAGACCAGCCAGTGCATCCTAACACCAAAACCACAAAAATACAGTGAAAAAAATCTCTTGACTAGAGATGTGAAAACCCTTATTGACCTATTAGCAAATAAAATTCAGCAATCTGTTTGAGAATTATACACTATGACCTGTCCCAGCCCCCGGGTGAGTCAATGTAGATGCTAGATGGGGAGTGAGGATGAGAAGAGACAAGACAGGATTCTGATCAAGTCTCATTTATTCAAAGAAAGAGCAATGAATATATAGGGTATTGGGGAGGAGGGAGTTGGGTTCTGAGACATCAGCAGGTAACTTAGCAACAGTGGCAAGATCAAGGGTTGTAGGTAATTCAAATCTCCCGTGCGCGGGCTCATAGGCGGGCTGATTAGCATAATTCCTGAATGGGCCAAACCACAGGGACCTGTGACCTAAGGAGAAAGAGGCTAGACAAGGAGCTGCTGCCTGTAGATACAAGGTGGCAGCCAATTACAGGGCTTCCCACAATGACCAAAATTTATTCCAGGTATGTAGAGATAATACAAAAGTCAACCTAATGTAATTCACATATTAATAGGCTAAAGAAGAACTATCACATACATGATCCTATCAATTTGATGCAGAAACTCTCTGTTAAAAATCAATATATAAGCCATACACAGCCCAGGAAGAGAGAAGCCAGTCCGCTCCTCCTATGAGTTGACAGAAGCCATGCTGGGTCTGGGAGGAGTACAGTGAGAAGCCAATTTGCCCTTCCCATGAGCTACACAAGGCATGGGGAGGCCAGGAAGAGAGAAGTCTATCTGCCCTTCTCTTGAGCCAACTAGCATGTGGGCAGAGAAGCAAACAGCCATGCAACTCCCACCCCAGCTGCCCATAAGCAACCTAGTGTCAAGAACAGGCTCAGTTGAAAGCAAATGAGGTACAAAAACAATTTAAGGCTTAGATTGTTTGATTGGCACTGAAGGCCTAAAGCCAATAGTCTGAGCATCTATTAGGAGCATAACAATATGCAATACAGGTAATATGGAGGATTTCCTTCTGTCTTGTGTTTGAAATCTTATATTTTCTTCACTGTTTATTTTTGTTCTGATTCACTGTTTTGTTTATTTGAAGTTCTGTTTTGATTGGTTTTATTCTGCTTTGTCTTATTTGATTTTAATATGTCTAATTATATTGACAATTATTGTGAAGATAAGAAGACATATTATGGTAGCCAATTGTGATTTCCTATTATCCTGTGTAAGTTCTGTACTGATTTCACTACTTTGTTTTGATTGGCTTTGTTGTTTTATTTTGTTAAGTTTTATTCTCTTTAAAATAAAAAAGAACAATATACTCAGTATAAAAAATAAGAATCAGAGAAATAGGAATGGAGAAACAAATTCAATGCCTTCCCCCTAAGATCAGGAAAGAAGCAAAGATGTCCATTCTCATCACTCTTTTTCAACAGGGTGCTGGAAGTTCCAGACAGTGAAGTAAGAAAATAAAACAAGGAAATAAGTAAGGCCAACAGACCATTAAAGTATAAGTAAAACTATTCTGATTAGCACATGGTGTGATATGATTCTGTATGTAGAAAATTTCAATGAATCTATCTGCAAAACAAAAACAAAAGAAGCCTGGAGCTCAAAAATGACTTCAGTAAGGTCACAAAGGACAAGACCAATGTGCAGAAATCAAATGTATCTCTGGGTCTCAGCAAGGACTGCATAAATATTAAAATTAGAAATAAAATGATACTTATAATTAGAAACAAACAAATCAGGAGGAGGAGGAAATAAAAGGTATAAATCTAGCAAAGCAAGATAAAATATATATAGGACACCTATACTTTGTCTTGCAATCCAGGAACCAGTAATGTGTTTTCAAACAAACCCTACTTTCATTAAGCACAAACATGATAGGAAATCTGTCTGTAGGGATGAATTATGGACTTAGAAATCAAAGGCTAGTGGAATATTCATTCTAAAATTTAAACTCCCCTGGTAGAGCAGAAACTTCTAAGTGACGAGAATCTAGGTGATTTTTCTTGGTTTAAATCTTCACGTATTTACCAAATATTTTACAAGTATTACTTTGCTCTTTGGATGGAAAAAGAATTGTAAAACAGTCTGTTTAAATTCTCCAAATGGCAAAGAATTATTCAAAAAGAAATCAAGGAAATTTTTTGTTTGTTTTATCCAAATCATTGACAAATAGCCTGAGCTATTGTGAATGGGCACCATGTTGGGCCACTGCCGGGAAAGCCAGATGGGAGCACTTTCCAGTGCTCAGGCTGGGAAACAAGAAGAGCCATCCATCCCCTCTCCTGCACCATCAGAAGCAACCAGCCAATCCAGAGAAACACAGGCTGTGGTGATAGCTATTGAAGTAAAATACAATTTAATGCTTGTGGTGTTTAGTGTTTCTCTGGTTTGTAGGTATAAAGCTAGTAGTCTGATCATCTATACAGAGGATAACCACATACAATGTAGCACTGGGGATCTCCTGTGAAGATGGTGGCCATTGTTAATTACATATTACCTCATTTGGAAGTCCTGTATCATCTTCATTATTTTGTTGGGTTTTCCGTTTTGTTTTGTTTGATTTTATTATATCCAATGGCATGGGCATCTATTTCAAAGATAACAAGATATATTATGGTACCCATTTTGGATTGTCCTTTAATGCCTTCATTGTATTGTTTTTATTCATTTTATTTTGTTCCTTCTTAATTGATTTTGCTATGTCTGAAGGTATCTGGAGGCATTATGATAACCACTGTTGATTTTCTATTGCTTTTAAGTCCTGTGGCAATTACATTGGGTTGCTTTGATTGACTTTATTCTGTTTTTCTTGCTTGGTTTTATTTTGTTTAAAAAAATAAAGATTTTTTATGTTTTAACTGATTTTTCTGCCCTATAGGGTAAAGATGGAGCTCTCAAATGCTAAAAGGAAAGCTCTGTGTGAATTCCACTAGACTGGGGCAGTGGTGAAAGTTCTTCTCTTTGCCTGAAGATGCATGAAGCCTTCCAGTGAATGGCAGAGCGGCAGGATCTGATCCTTTGTCCCAACTGTTAATGTCAGACAGTGGGTGACATTGCCAACTAAGGGAAGAGCTGGAGGTGGAGCTCAGGGGTAGAGCATCTGCCTGACATGCTGATCCCCAGCACAAGGAAAACAAAAACATTTCTAACAAGTGTAGAAAACTTCAGAGGGGATTAGAAATGCCAAGTGATGATAAAATAAGGTTTTTTTGAACACCAACCCCATGGGCCATGGATATAGTTCAGAGGCATAAGCACCTGGCTGGCAAGCACAAGGTCCTAAGTTTGATTCCCAGTACTAAAATAAATAAATACACAAACCTAAGTCAATTCACATGCAGAATGCTTCTTTTGTAAGCTAACTACAAATCCTAGATTCTAAAAGGAGGAACCAACTTCTTCTTTTTTGTTTTTGTCATGGATTGAACTCATGACCCTACCCTTTCAAGGCAAGGGCTTATGCTGCTAAGATAAATCCTGGCCTTATCAACTTCTTAATGATTACATAACAGCTTAATCCTTTGCAATTCAGAGGGAAAAATGAGTAGCTTAGCATACCACATTCACATAACACCACAGCACACAGCACTTACATGTCTTGGTGTGTTCACGTGATAACATGTAATTGGCGAGAGGTGGCGTGTACATCAAACACTGCAGGGCCGCATTGACAAAACAGGTGTTACCCAGATTCTGAAGCCCAGTGCCAATTCTGTGACTTTGCTGCCACTTAAGACAAATCTTCTCTGGCGGAAAAAGAATTTTCTGTGGTGGAGGAATGCCATCACCTAGGGATACAACAATAAACAGCAAACATCATAAAACAAAATTGGCATGCTTCTAAAGTCAAAGAAATTGTGATTCTTGATCAAACTTCTAAATCTCATTACCAAGATAGAAAGCGATATTTTTAAAAGATGAAACCTAAAACATGAGAAGCTAAATGATTTAGTTTCTTCAATTAATAAATTACAAAAATAAGAAGTAGAGAACAAAATTCGGAAGGAAAAACGAGTCTGTTGAGAACAACATAAGGGTCCTAAAAAGGGGGAGTGTGAAGAGAGAAAGGGAAGCCCCAGCAATATGACAAGTGTGAAAGCCTTGCAGAAAAATGTCCTGTGGGAAAGTCTTGATGGCAAAGCTCAAGGCCTTGAAGTTCTACGTTTAACTTCAGATTAAGTTGTCTTCTGAGTTGTAAGCCTCCCCTCGTACACAGTCAGAACACCTTGAACAAACCACAGCACACATCCCCACACCACAATATCAAGGTTACTAGAGGACTCTAAACAAGACAAGGATCAAATTATCCTAAGCTGGACAACATTCCAATTATGAACTAATTCTACTGTTGCTTTTCTTTGCATTTCAAACTGTCAGGGCTTTCAGGCTTAAAATTCCCCCTGAAAGAGCCAATGTTCCATTATTTGGATAAATGTTAACAAATATAACTGTGTTTACCTTACCTGTTCTTTTCCAAATACAGAGACTGTACCTACCTAGGGAGCATAATAACTACTAGTTAACTGAAAACATAAGAAAACTTACCTCCATTCTCCTCAAGATATTTTACCCTTTAAAAATTAGAAACAAAACGAATGATACATATTTGAGTAACTAAATTTAATACCTTGCTGTGATACATATGCTAAGAAGGAATGCTTTCGTATTAAAGAAAATACTTTCTACCTTAGAATCCCAGCCATCCACATGGGAATCTCTCTCACAAAACAAGCTCCTCTCTGAAATTACCAACATTCTTGGTAGCATTTATACAAAAGTTTCTGGCAATGAATTTTCAATATTTTTAGAAAACAGTATCTTCCTTGGTCCTTTGGTGGTGATGGCTCTGACTTACCAGCAACAGTGGACTCTGAATAAACAGCACCCAGTACCGGTCCTAAAGAAAGTGTGTGAATGGAAACATCACTCAGTGATGAAGACTCAGCGCTCTGGTCAGGAGAGCCTGCACCCAGGTCTGCAGTGCTGGCTGCCTCAGAATGGCCGCGCTGATTCCGATGGTCCGACGAGTCTGAAGAGTCAGCTCTGTCCATGATGGTCATCGCTCAACTCTGCAAAAGTCAAAAGTGTACATTTCTTTCCTAAAGTAAAGATAATGTACTCACCCTGCTGTTAGATATTGGAATGTTTACTACCCATTTAAATTTTGTTCAAACCAATCAGCCAAGTATTAAAACTCTAGTAATTTCTCTTTTCTTTTTTTTCCACTGTACTAGGGATTAAACCTAGGGTCTCACTCTACCACTGAGCTACATCTTCAGCCCCTATATCTTAAGTTTACTTATAATTTCCAAGGAAAATGTCTTGCCTACATGAAGAGGAAAACCAGTTTTGCTTCTGAGAATTAACGTCCAACATAAGCACGCAGATGCTGGTGCACATCTGTAAGAGTAGCACGAAGGAGGTTGGGTCAGGAAAATCTCAAGTCTGAAGCCACCCTGACCTTCATAAGGAGTTCAAAGCCAGCCTGGACTAGGCACCAAGACCCTGTGTCAGAAAAAGGAACAAAGCAGCATTATATGAAAAGCATTACACTCTAAAGAAATTATAATTGTAGAAAGTCCCATCTTTAAAACAAATGTTTTTCGCTAAATCAAATTTCAACACAAATTCATGCTCCTAAGTACTTAATTGCAGTTTTCTCTCTGATACTGTGTTAAAGTTACTGAGTATAGGTCGGCGAACTGCTTTCTTTGCCTGGGGCCCAGGATCTGGCTACCTGTGGGTCACATAAGTCCAGCAGAGGCATGGAACTCTCCTCTTTGCCTGCAGGCCGGCCTCCTCTGGCTCCATGTTGGTCTGGTAAGACCAGTGAAGGCAGGGAACCCCACCCAAGGCCCGTGAACTGTTTTTTGTTTGTTTGTTTGTTTGTTTGTTTTTGCCTGGGGCCCAGGATTTCCCTTCCTGTCGAAATCAGTGAGAAAGGAGGAAGCAGGGACCTCTGTCCCAGCCTGGCTGACCTCTCTACCTCACTTGGAACAAAACTTGAAGCATAAAAATATAGGAAAATGACAAAATGAAAGACCAAAATGCAGTCTCAAACATCCAGCCCATCTCAAGAAAGCCTAGGAGCCATGTGCATAGAAGAAAATATATGCCACATACCTGAAATACCTGAAATAATAGTAACTGAAATAAAGAAGCAACTCTGGGAAGCCTTAAAGGAAATCAAACCAGAAATAATCTCTCAGGTAAAAGAAGAACTGATGAAAGAAATGAAGGAGATGCTGAACATATCTAAAGAAGACACAGTTAAAAAACTTGAGATAGACAAAAAAGATAGAATCCCTGGATGAACAATATAAGAAACAGACAGAATATATAAAGCAGACGCAACGAGATATACAGGAAATCAAAAACTCCATCGAAAGTTATAAAAAGCGCCTCAATGAATGTGAAGATAGAATTTCAGACCTTGAAGACAAGATTTCAGCCAGTGAACAGGAAAGGAAAGATCTTTTAAAAATAACAAGAAATCAGGAAGTAACAATTCAACACTTGCAAGATGACGCAAAAAGGAACAACATAAGGTTAATAGGAATAAATGAAAAAGAAGGGAACAACATAAAGGTTGTCAAGAGGATATTTAGAGAAGTAATCGCTGAAAATTTCCCAAACATGAGACTGGAAACCGATATTAAGATCAGTGAAGCATATAGAACTCCAAATAGCCATAAACAAAATAAAACTACACCCAGACACATAGTAATGGCCATCCCAGAAATCGAAGAAAAGAATATTAAAAGCTGTAAGAGAGAAAAGACAGATCACCTATAAAGGAAAACCTATCAGAATCACAGCAGACTTCTCAGCACAAACAATAAAGTCAAGAAGAGCATGGAGTGAAGTATTTCAGGTCCTAAAGGAAAATGATTTCACCTAGGCTGATGTATCCTGCAAAACTGTCCTTCAGAATGGATGGAGAAATAAGACACTTCCATGACAAAGAACAGCTGAAAAAGTACATGATCACCAAGCCAACCCTGCAAAGAATACTGAAAGACAGCCTAGATGCATCTAGGAAAAAACCACTAAACAAAACAGACAATTAAACAGAACCAAAAGACAAAGATGCAACAGCAGAAAGATAACATGTCAACAATAAACCAATATATAACAGTTATAACCATTAATTTAAATGGTCTCAATGCACCAATTAAAAGAAACAGACTGGCAGAATGGATCAAGAAACAAAATCCAATCATATGCTGTCTACAAGAAACCCATCTAACCCAAAAGGATACCCACAGACTGAAAGTCAAAGGATGGAAAACAATACTTCATGCAACAGGACCCCCCCCCCCAAAAAAAGCAGGGGTGGCTATTCTGTTTGCAGACAATGTGAACTTCAAGTCAATAATCATCAGAAGGGATAAAGAAGGTCACTACATACTGGTTAGGGGAAAACTCCAAGAGGAAGAGATAACTATCTTAAATACCAAATTCCAGAGCACCAGTTATATAAAACAAGTACTAACAGAAATGAAAAACCAAATCAGCAGTAACACAATTCTAACAGGGGATCTTAACACACCATTGACACCAATGGACAGATCAACCAGACAGAAAATCAGCAAAAAAATAATAATAATAATAAAAGAACTGAATTGCACTTGTGAAAAAGTGGATTTAATAGACATATACAGAGTATTCCACCCAACAACAAAAAAATACACATTCTTCTCAGCAGTACATGGGTCATTTTCTAAAATAGACCATATATTAATTCACAAAACATATCTAAATAAATGCAAAAGGGTTGAAATCATCCATTGCATGCTATCGGACCATAGTGCTATGAAATTAGAACTTAATGAAAAAAGATACTACAAAATTCCCACAAAGACATGGAAACTGAATAACACACTCTTGAGTAATCAGTGGGTCACAGAGGAAATCAAAGAAGAAATTAAACACTACCTACAGGAAAATGAAAACACAAATACAACTTACTGGAATCTGTGGGATGCAATGAAAGCTGTCCTCAGAGGAAAATTTATAGCACTGAGTTCCCACATCAGGAAAACAGAACGAATACAAATAAATAACCTGATGTTATACAAATAAATGATACAATACCTGATGTTATACAAATAAATATGTTATACAATACCTGATGTTATACAAATAAATAACCTGATGTCTTGTAGACAGCATATGGTTGGATTTTGTTTCTTAATCATTTTCCTTAAACATCTAGAAAAAGAAGAGCAAGTCAAGCCCAGAGCCAAAAGAAGAGAAGAAATTATAAAAATCAGAGCAGAAATCAATGCAATAGAGACTAAAAAAAAAATCCAAAAAATCAATGAATCAAAGAGTTGGTTCTTTGAAAGAATAAATAAAATTGATAAGCCCCTAGTCAACCTTATTGAAAAAAGGGAAGAAAAAGCTCAAATTCATGCAATGAAGAATGAAAGAGGAGAAATCACTACAGACCCTATAGAAATACAGAAAACCATCAACACCTATTTTGAAAACCTCTACTCTCAAAGGTTTGATAACACAGAGGAAATGGACGGATTCCTAAAAGCATACGAAGTACTAAAGCTAGGTCATGAAGATGTAAAACTACTGAATAACCCAATTTCTATTAATGAAATCAAAAATGTAATTAAGTCCTTACCTACAAAGAAGAGCCTAGGTCCAGACAGATTCACTGCAGAATTCTACAAGAAATACAAGGAAGATCTATTGCCAACACTCCTCAAACTCTTCAATGAAATTGAAAGGGAAGCAATCCTTCCCAAGTCATTCCTGGAAGCAAATATTACTCTAGTACCAAAACCTGAGAAAGACCCAACTAAAAAAGAGAACTACAGACCAATCTCCCTAATGAACACAGATGCAAAAATCCTCAATAAAATATTGGCAAATAGGATGCAGCAAATCATCAAGAAGATCATACACCATGACCAAGTGGGATTCATCCCAGGCATGCAGGGATGGTTCAATATACATAAATCAATAAATGTAATACACCATATCAATAGAGCCAAATGTAAGAACCACATGATCATTTCTATAGATGCAGAAAAAGCTTTTGATAAGGTCCAACATTCATTCATGATAAGAACCCTGCAGAAAATTGGAATAGATGGTCTTTACCTCAATATAATAAAGGCCATCTATGACAAACCAACAGCCAATATCATTCTAAATGGCCAAAAATTGAAGGCCTTTACTTTAAAATCAGGCACAAGACAAGGATGTCCCTTATCGCTGTTCCTATTTAATATAGTACTGGAAATACTAGCCAGAGCAATTAGACAAGAGAGAGAAATAAAAGGCGTAAAGATAGGAAAAGAGGAAGTTAAGCTATTATTATTTGCAGATGACATGATACTCTATATAGAAGATTCCCAAAACTCCATTGAAAGACTGCTAGATATAATAAATAAATTTAATAATATAGCTGGCTATAAAATCAATACTCAAAAATCAATAGCATTCCTATACCCTAACAATAACGTCACAGAAAGAGAAATAAGAGAAACCACTACCCTTCACAATAGCAACCTAAAAAATGAAATATCTAGGAATTACTCTCATGAAAGAAGTGAAAGACCTATACAGGGAAAATTACATTACACTGAAAAATTAAATTGAAGATGATCTCAGAAAATGGAAAAACATTCCTTGCTCATGGATAGGAAGAATAAATATTGTGAAAATGGCCATTCTCCCAAAACTCTTATACAGATTCAATGCAATCCCGATAAAAATACCATCAACATACCTCATAGATCTCAAGAAATCAATCCTAAAATTCATTTGGAACCAGAAGAGACCTAGAATAGCAAGGACAGTTCTAAGCAGCAAAGGCAAGGCAGGAGGTATCACAATCCCTGACTTGAAATTATACTACAAAGCAACCATAGTAAAATCAACATGGTACTGGAACCAAAACAGAGCTGAAGATCAGTGGAATAGATTAGAAGATACAACCACAACTGCAAACACACTCATCCACCTTGTCTTCGATAAAGGGGCCAAACATGTTCACTGGGAGAACGACAGTCTCTTTTTAATAAATGGTGCTGGAAAAACTGGCTCTCCATATGTCGAAAACTAAAACCTGACCCATGTCTATCACCATGTACTAAAATAAAATCTAAATGGATCAAAGATCTAAATATTAAAACAGAAACACTAAATCTATTGGAAGACAAATTGGGTAAAAACTTTGAAGATATAGGAGTAGGTAGAGAATTCATGAACAGGACTCAAACTGCACGGGAAATACTTCCCAAAATCAATAACTGGGATCACATCTTATTAAAAAGTTTCTGCATGTCAAAAGAAGTCTCCAGCATGGTGAGAAGAAAACCCACAAACTGGGAAAATATTTTAATGAACTGCCCCTCAGACAAAGGACTTCTATCTAAAACATACAAAGAATTAAAAAAAATCAGACCCCCAAAACTCAAAGACCCAATCCAAAAATGGGCATCGGAGATGAATAAACAATTCTCAGATGAAGAAATACAAA